TATCAACGGAAATTATGACTGCTGTTCTTTTTTAAATAACGCCTGTATTACTTTGCAATCGCTCGAATTCGAGCAACAGGTGCACTAGTACTCTTAAATTTCTCGTCCATTGTTCATCAAGGTGTCATACCTACTCTTGGAGTTAGAATCAGTTTTTCTGTCAGAACCGTAAATTTGAGTAGGTATCTTGTAAATCTTTAAAAGCTTCGAATATGCTGACTGGTCTTGTACATGTTACATGGCATAATGTGCATAATTTGCTAAGTTACATGTAACTATTATGGCATAGGAGTATAAAATTAAAGCAAGATTCTCTATAACATCCACAATTCCTTCTTCCCCAACAGCTTCCAAGTCCTTTGTCTTCTTCTTCAACTCTGCCCAATTTCTCGCAAGTAGCGCAAGTGCATCGCCCTGCAGCTTCCCACAGTAACAGCGGTTGAAATTTTTTCTTCCCCGGAAAGTTTTTCCCCTGGTGAGGTGGCCGGGTCCGGCATTGTTTGCTAATTAGTACCCAGAAATCAAGCGGTGTACTCTTTCTGTCTGGCGGGAGATTTGTGGCCCGCCGCGACATTGGCGGCAAAACATTGTAAATTGCGTCCCCCATTGCAGTGCCAATACGGAATCGCTAAGTACAGGGATTCCAGACCTTAAGCAGTTTTTCGGGTGCATTGTACTTGCTCGGTACCTCGCCAGGACCACATTCCCGGTCGAAATGTTTCTTATTACTGACTGGCCCCAAAACTCTTTGTCTGTCTGGCTGAGACGGTTGACCTCCATCATGGGTAAGTTCACCTGACGCTTGCATCCTGTTGTCAATAGCCTCTGGTACACTTATGGTCAACTTTTTGAGCAAGGTACATTTTTGGATTTTCTGAGATTTGTATTTAGAGATTAACAGATTTATGTGAAAGATCTCAAGGTCCACCTAAATTGTGCCCCCACAAGGTACAATGTGTGTAACCCCACTTCCACTAGGAACTTTTAGACCTGCACGATGAACGCTTCCACAAGGTACTCTTTTGAGATACCCTCAAAGTATATATAGGATTTTCGGCAATCATCTCTTTTCATAGTTTAGGACCTCATTGTTGTTCAAATAGTTAATTTTCCGGAGGCCACCCTTGTACAGCGCTGCGGTGGTTATGTTAGGTTAGGTTATCATCAATATGTTTGTAGAACTTTACTCGTTTCGTTATAAATCGAACTATACTAGATGAGTCATACTTTCGCCCACCAAATCCCCCATGTAGGCCAAGGTCAGGTCGTTGATAGGAGCGCGCTTATCACCTGTCACCGCCTGTATCTCTGGTATCGTTAACACATCTGATATCATTAGATTCATAACGAAACGAGGAAAAGTCCTACAAACATATTATGATACCCCAACCTAACATAACCGCCGCAGCGCGCTGTATACCTATTTGGCGGAGTACATGTGGCAGCTAGCGGCTGCGACGCATTCAACTCAATCCTCGCCAACATCGCTGCCTTCTGTAAAGCAGAACTTAAAAGGCTGCTAATCGAAATCATGTCAAATTTGTACAGTAAGTCAATTAAAGTATGTTCTTTTAAAAAAAAATTTAGTTATTTTTGGTCTTCAGTAAAAAAAACCCTCTAAAATAAGTGGTCTCCGGATAATACTAAAGTACTATTTTATGTAACGATCACTAGGTATATCAGAAAAATTATGCTATTTACGGATGGCAACAATGCGATGTGTGATAACGTGAACTATTGAAAGTTGATAGCATTCGCTACGTGTTAAACTCTGCTACCTCCTATTTTTTTTATTGACGAGGATTTCGTCTTATTTACAACCGTTTCCACATAATCTTGCTGTGTCTACCGGTCGGTTCTACAACCTACAGCTGCCTTCTGTCTGTCATTCCGCATTTACATATCGTATCGCACTTGTACACATTTGATTTTTTTGTGTTACAGATTTTGTGTCCATGAAAAATGAGGACACAGTAGCAAGACCTTTTCACCTAACGAGTCTCAACTTTACCAATAAGCTAAATTTTCTCATCCAAACCTCATTCGTTTACACCTTTTCCCATTTAATTATTCACAATTAGTTAATAATCACAATTTACCACAAGTTTAACTCATCACCACTTTCGCCTCAGCAATATTGTTCATTATACAAACCCTTGTTTTACAACATCTCCCATCAAATCTTACAGCAAACTCCTTCGTGTATTTGCCATTCCCTCTGAATGAACAATCCTGCAACTCTAGGATATTCGCGATTCCCACGGACCCGAGACACCTACTTTGACTCTAATGGCTGCAAGTGTGATTATAATTAATGGTGTAATAACGAAAGGACAGTTTCTCTAGTGCGTGCCTCCTTGCCTGTTTGCCTATTTGCCTTCTTGCCTGTTCCCTACAAGGCAAAGTCCAGCGACCTTGCAGTCTTGATGTATTCTCTATCAGAGTCTTCACTCAGATCGCGAGTCCTCCACCTTTTGTGGCTTCCGCCTCGTCTTTTCTTTATTAGCTTTCCTTAATTGTCCAAAGGAGAAAATATGTATTAAAAATATGAGAACATGATTTTCTAGCTGATGCTATCAATATATCGTATGTGTATGAGATTATTTTCGTAATCTATATATTTAATTCCGTAAGTGAATCGGTCCCCACGAAATATCTCGAGCTAGGAAAAGGTGGCCCAAGTACGGTGGGAAGAATATCAGAAGTGCCAAAAAATCACCTCTGCTCCCCTAGTTTTATTTTATTTTGATCGGAGGTATCAAACATCAATGCTAAGAAAACTACACTCAGTTCTATTTCATTTACACCACGAGTAAATCAAACATCATCATTATTCGTCTCTCTATTTCATTGGAGTTTATACGTATTGTTGAGGTATTGGGTTTATTTTAAGATTTGAAACTTGTCTTACTGTGACTTACCTTATCACATGGGGTTTTCGTTTAAATTGTCAACAACGCCTGGTTACAAGCTAAACGTAGATGCCTGATTTTAATATTGCTCTATCTTCTTCAAACTGAGGAGGTAGGCTAGGACACAAAGATTAACTCAAGACTAGCATAAACTTGACTGTAATTTTGACGAGAATGTGGGACTGTCACTAAATAGGATGAAGTTGATATAATACAGCCTTTCAACCCCGATTTAAATGTCAAGTGTAATTTCTCCGATCCATTTTATATAAAAACTTATTGTAACCGATATTCACGCATTTTTACAGTTTCGACGTTAAGCTAAATTACAACCAAGAAAAAATGTCCTACTATTTACCGTTCTGTGAAAGAACGTGTTTCAAAGTAACGTAGGCAGGTTGCATTTTTTCTAGATTCGCTATATCCAAGAACCCAATGAACAAGCTCAAAGATATTTACAAATCTTTTGCTTTATTGACAAGTTTGTGTGTGGTGAGTAGAATTCTTGTTCTAAACTTACAGAATGAGCAAAGTTCTGTCCTACGAATTACCGGAACTACAAGCAGCGGAAACAACAGCAAGGGACGCACAAAGGTTCAGTGGATATATTAGGCCCATAGTGTGTATAATTTTACGCAGGGGTCACCGTTCTGTCTGTAGCGTAGTGGCCTGAGGCGTATTGACTCATCACGGCTGGACCGGATGGAACGAGCCGAGCTACTTCACTCGGCTCGCTGCATACTCCTGCATAGCGAAACTCTCAGCTCCGAATGACCCTTACAGATTCTGTGTGTATTTAGTTAAACTTCTACCCCTGCTGGACCGGAGAGGAAAAGTCAAGTCACCCTCTTGCAGAATGCTCACTACATTTTCCTATACGGCTTCGAAACTCAAAAGTCCGAATAAATGCTTTCGGTGAAACCTGTACTCATTTAGTTCAGCCATTCACTTAGAATGCTGACAGAGTACTTCTCCCATTGTAAGATCTAAAGCCCATTTTTTTGCATGTTGAATCTTAGAGTGTGCTGATGTCGGCTTCATGTTTTAAAGGTGAATTTTTAATGCAGTTTTAACTATCTGGTTTATAATAGTACTAAAAGTGAAGTTAATTTGGTAAAAGTATATGAAGACTAGATAAATATATGATTTGTTTTCAACCATTGTTTAAGCACTGAAACGTTGACAAGCCAAATTGGTGATAAATTGCCATGAAAAATACAAGCTCTTTCTTAACTGTTTCCGACATAAGTTGCAAATGTACCAAAAACTAAATAAAAAAAAACCCGATCGAAGATGTCTATCTGACATTTTCTTTATTATTCTTTCGCTTCTGCGACAATACTGCCTTACATTACTGTCCCGCTGTCCTTCTACGTACTGTGCCAAAGGACAAATCCTTGGGTACAGTAGAGTGGAGTAATTTAATTTGGATAGTGCGATCCAGATCTAGTTCTCTACTCTAGTTATCAACGTCATAAATTTAGAAAACTTGTCCACCTTCGGAGCCGGTATTGCAGTACTGGTACGAGGCTGGTACAGTGCCAATGGCAAGATGAATGCCCTGCAGCGGCGCATACAAAGTAGAACTGCTCTGCACTTTTGACGACTCTTTCTAATGTACTTTGGCGATCCTTCGGATTCCGTTTACATATATTCGGATTTGAGTTTCGTTTGAACTCTTAAAAATGCTTTTATTCAGGAAATCTTACAGGTACGAGGAGTTTTATGTTTCAGTGAACGTAATTGAAGTAATGCATGTTTTTTACTGTGTTTTTACAAAGCTCCAGTGAAGTCTTGTAAATGTTAAATCGCATTAAAACTACTAGAAACTAAACAAAATTCTACATTAATAAGATTAGGATCAATACTTGTCAATACTTTGTCACAATACTTCTCCTGTGAACGTCCTATTGGAGCTAAGAAAAAGGGGTCTACTATAAACATTCTATTTACAAACGACTAGCAATCGTTTTTTCCTGGACCAATACACAATTTGAGTTCCGTATGAGTTGAACTAACGGGAAAAACTAAATTTACCTTTTTCATACGATCCAGTAATCGTGTTCTCACAAGACTTGTATGTTTCAGTAAACGTGGTCGAAGCCCTGCAAGAGTTCTGGCAGATGAAGCAGACGAGAGGGGCTGACCTGAGGAATGGAGCTCTAGTCATCTACGAATCAGTCCCTTCCCAGAGTCCACCCTACGTCTGCTACGTCACGTTACCAGGAGGATCCTGCTTCGGCAGCTTTCAGGTAATCCATGCCATGCAAATTATGTTCCTGCAGAAAAAGTCTTTTTACATGGACTTCTCTCATTGAGGTTCACGCATTTTTTCTCAAAGGGCATTTTATAATTCATGAAAATAGTCAATAGCACTTCGTGACTTTTACACATTTGGTAACATTGTCGACGATAACATTATGGGACTCGCAGAGAAGTAAATTTAAACCACGAACTCACTTTAATTAATCAGTTAGGTGATATCTTCGTTCTTCAAAGAACTTTTCGAAATCCCTAAAGATATTGATGATTTTTGTATTTGATCTTTTGACATACTTCATAGCACGGGCTTTTGTTTCTGTATGTAATCAATTCCTAAGATAAACTCACTTTTCTTATGGATGGTTTTCTATCTTCTCAAAGAGCGTTGTAGCATTGAACATAGAACACTCGAATAGTAAACACATCCCCTGCCACTCGGTGGTTTTGTATTAGGTCAGTTAACATTATTAATAGCACAGTTCTTTCTTCGGAAATTTTCACGCAATTCAAGCCATGCCAGGGATAAACTTGTAGGAGATGCTGTAGAACAAGACTACTAACAGGAATTAAGTTCAAGTCAAGCCATCAACTCCTATTTGTTTTTTTATATGTGTTCATTTTTTACAAGATGTAAACAAAACATTGTTTATTGGATAGCGACTTAAGTGTTTTAATTTTGTAGACAATGATAAAATGCATACTTCAAAGTTTCAAAAACGTGGTTTATTAGCAGCTCGACAGAAGATTTTGACCACCTCAATCTGAAACTCGACTACTTATTACTACTTACTGGAGAAACTGATCAAGTCAGAACACTTGTAGCCGCTCTCACTTCGCACCTCTACATCTCTGCACCGCTACAGAGGCGGAATATGCTGTAGCGTGTGCTCATCCCATATTACGGGATAATGTTCTCCTCGGGTGCGTGTTGAGACGGGGTTCGGCTAATTTGTGACCGTTGTAGCCCGGGCCCTCGCGTGTCCACAGAGTAACCACTCATGTACACCGCTCACAGTCCATACTCCATGATGTTCATGGGGATACAACGTTGGTTGCTGCTAACGGCTTGTCGTCTGGTGGCTCTACGGGGCTTTATGTTATGCCACGGGTGATGTGGCTAGTGGCTCTACGTTGTGACGCGCGAGACGCTGCTAGTGGTACAGCGTTGAACGCATGATGTGGCTAGCGACTCTACGTTGTGTCACGCGAGACTGTGGTAGTGGCTCGGCGTTATGCCACGGGTGATGTGGCTAGCGACTCTACGTTGTGTCACGCGAGACTGTGGTAGTGGCTCGGCGTTATGCCACGGGTGATGTGGCTAGCGACTCTACGTTGTGTCAGGCGAGGTGCTGGTAGTGGCTCGGCGTTATGTCACGCGTGATGTGACTAGCAACTCTACGTAGTTGCCACGCGACGTTCTGGTAGTGGCTCAACGAATATAGAGCTTAGTTACGGTATGTCACGCGTGATGTGGCTAGCGACCTTAGCGACTCTTAGTAGTTGCCACGCGAGGTGCTGGTAGTGGCTCGGCGTTATGTCATACGTAATGTGGCTAGCAACTCTACGTTGTGTCACGCGAGGTGCTGGTAGTGGCTCGGCGTTACGTCACGCGTGATATGACTAGCGACTCTACGTTGTGTCGCGCGAGGTGCTGGTAGTGGCTCGGCGTTACGTCACGCGTGATGTGACTAGCGACTCTATGTTGTGTCGCGCGAGGTGCTGATAGTGGCTCGGCGTTATGTCACGCGTGATGTGGCTAGCGACTCTACGTTGTGTCGCGCGAGGTGCTGGTAGTGGCTCGGCGTTACGTCACGCGTGATGTGACTAGCGACTCTACGTTGTGTCGCGCGAGGTGCTGGTAGTGGCTCGGCGTTATGTCACGCGTGATATGGCTAGCGAATCTATGTTGTGTCACGCGAGGTGCTGGTAGTGGCTCGGCGTTACGTCACGCGTGATGTGACTAGCGACTCTACGTTGTGTCGCGCGAGGTGCTGGTAGTGGCTCGGCGTTATGTCACGCGTGATGTGGCTAGCGACTCTACGTTGTATCATATTGTGTGATATTGCTAGGTTTCATACGTTTTGTCGTGCAAGATGTGGCTGGCTTCTACGCGTGGCGGCATGTGGTGTACGCGACGAGCTCGCCATTCTCGCCAGGTCGGATCAGTATGTAAATGCGATCAGCGGCTGCGCTGGAAGTGCACCGAAGAGCCATAAAATCGAGGCCAGCTTCCGATTTCTCTTCATCTACTGTCAACGGACTACACCCCCGACCCTATTTCCGAGGCATTCTAATCACTCCACCACCATTATTATAAGTTATCTCGTAATATATTTTTATGAGTTCAAATTATACTGTTTTAACAAAATTATATTTTATAGCCCGTATAACTAGTGGCCGGGATGTGCACAAATTTTGAATGTTTCGACCATAACGATTATACTTTGATTGATATGTTAATATAATGTCCCGCTTAAGTATATTCAATTTCATTCTACAATATTTAAATCTCCCGGTTAATCGGTGCGCCCTTGTGTGAGATGGAATACGCTCGTCATTTGAGGCTATAAATAACTTGGACATCGACGAACCGAGTTGAAATAATTTGCAAATAAATGTTGCGACCGACAGAGAGTCTGAATATTAATTAATGTTTCGATCAGAGACTGAGCTTACAGTCTGGACTTGAACATTTAATTTTGGGGCTTTTCCTCCTTTTTAATTTAGTAACTTTTCCTCAACTGTTTGCATGATAGTTATACATCGATGGCATGATTAAGAAATGGACGAAGAATATTCAAAGAAACTTGCTGTACGTTGTATAAAATACAGTGTAAACGTGTGATTTATGTGCTTTCTTATTAAATAACCTATATACTATTGTGTTATTGTGTGTTTAAATAATATTATGTGAAGAGAAGATATTTATCTTCAAGAAACACTCGAATTTGTATAGTATCCAGGGAGGAATGACACTGAGTTAAGTTTGAAATAATTTAGCAGCTGACTAAAATGTTATAACTGAACGCGTCCCGTTTCAAAATCAAAACCGTTCCCTCCTAACAACATTTTTTCATCATTGAAATACACTTTCTTAGTTATGCTTGGGGCAAGATTTTTCAAATAGAGTTTTTTAAGACTTACTCCTCTCCAACTCTAGGTTCTTGAGAAGTGATTTTATTTGGTAACACATCATAATCGTCATAAAAATGTTTTAGAACTGTCCAACCAAAGCAGAAGCGAGAAGAAGTGCTGCAAAGATCGCGCTGATGAACTCTGTGTTCAACGAACATCCATCGAGAAGGATATCAGACGACTTTATCGAGAAGGCTGTTGCTGAAGCGAGAGCGTCGTTCAAGGTAACATAATCTAAGTAGTCCCGAACTAACCTAACCTAACCTAACTAACCTTACCTAACCTAACCAAAATAACCTGACCTGACTTAACCAACCTAACCTAACTAACCTTAATAGTTACAACTTACGTCAATCAATCCAGTATGTTTATGGCTTGTCAAGCAGAGGTAGCAATGAACCAATATAGATATACTAGGTTGGCAATAGATCAGACCATTGAGAACATAAGATTTAACAAGTTTTGTCTGGAAAATGACATCACGCCCAACATTGTGTTTTTATGTTTACGTGGTCTGACTATGTTTCTCAATGTAAATTATTTGACGCGGTTGCTACACCAACAATGCAACTAAATATGGAATAACCTAGTGCAACAGCGGAGCAGAAGATGACCTAAAGGTCGAAACGTGCGTCCTCCATAGATATACTGGATTGATTGACGTAAGTTGTAATTATTAATTTAAACATCAATCCGTTTGCTACAAATCAATCATGATAACTAACCTAACCTTGCCTAACCTAAAATAAGTCTTAAGGATCTAAGTGTCATTTCTATCAACCAACCAGAAAACGACAAACTTCTATTGAAAGAAAAATATCCATCAATAAAAGCCTCAATAAGAGCCACCATGCTTTTTCAGATATGTCAAAACTGTAAGATTTCTCAAATAGTTTAATAGTTACCAGATTTAATTGTTCAACAATCAAACTATATTCCCTTTAAAATTGTATTCAAAATTATATTTTCTGTTATTTGTCTCGTGACGTGATGATGACGTCACTGGCCCGAATATTTCGCTAAAAACTGCAACAGCTGATATGGACATATTCACTGTTTCATTTAATACTGTTATGTGTAATAGCTATTTACATTACAAGTGTAGTAAGAGCGTTTTTACATCACGCAGGTGAATGTTGTGCAACGAGCGAAAGCGAGTTGCATAATTCACCGAAGTGATGTAAACACGCTCTTGCGTAACGTGTAACGTACAAGATTTTACCTGACCCGACAATATTCAGGAGGTTACGAGCAATATGCTTCATTATCAATTTCACTCATCTTCTAACAGTAACATTCATTTACAAACAAAAGCTAGGTTAGGAAAATTCTTCAAAGCATAACAATAAAATTCAAACACACAGCTGATTTCTAGCGTTGAACGTCGTTGGCTCCATAGAGGAATATTTTTTAAGTTATCCACTCAATGTTATTTAAATGGGTTTCATTACATCACCGAGTGAGTTTTTTGATACTTTACATCACTCGAGAAGTAAGGAAGTTGTATACATCACGCTTAGGATAGGGAAGTTTAACATGGCGGGTTAGGTAAACATTTTTACTATACCAGTTACGTGATAAGTTCGTGTTTATGATACAGTTTCTGTTCCAGTAACCATATAATAACCCAAGTACCAGGGGACCAAGCTTTGCTTGATAGCGGTTAATTGGTTTTAATTATATATAGTGATATTAGTGATGTATAAAGTAGTGATATGCATAAAATAACGAAAAAGTACAATTTAAAACATACACATATTATATAATTTACGAAAAATGTGTTTATAATAAACCTCGAACATTTGATCGCTGAAATTAGAATAGCTCTGCGATGTAAAAACAAAATTGAGATAAACAGACTTGTACAATGTGCTATTTGTACTGCATTTTCTCTCCTTTTAGTCATTGCAAACCTGTTTATTTTTACGCCTACTGAAAAAAACCGATGAAAAATGTAAAATACATAAAATCATATTAGTTTCGAAGTGGCTCCTTTAAATTTCATCATACAGTACTGTATAACCCCAGTCTTTATATCACGTACGCATGGTTTGTGACCATTTTTTATTACCGGTATATCTAAAGAAATTGAGCTTCTGCTCTTTCATCGGTTTTTGTATATTAGTTTTAATCCAATTGAAATGCCCTGACATACCTAATAAATATTGTTTGAAAATGTTAAATAAGTTTTCACATATCCATAAATCTAATGTTATCAAACCCATAAAAAAATAACCTTTTTTGACAAATTCCAATGCTGTTTTTTTAAGACTCCTGCAAAAATACGACTATTTATGTAAGTAAGAGGTGTGATTTGTTTGCTTGGATTCAAACGGAATATTTCGTTAAGCTAAATTTAAACTTCAGCATAAGCAAAACCAAAAGCTCTAAAAATACCCCGTATAGATGTATCATCCCTATGGATCAGCCGGAGACAGTAAGAGCCTTGTTCGGTTTAAGTAAAAGCGTATTTTGTTTACTATTGGATCCTTGACATTTAATCAACTTTCTAAATCTTTCGGCTGGAATTCGAGATAATTTTTACAAACACACAAACAGACAGAGCTCTAAGGTTATTAGAGTATAAGATGTATTAGATTATGAATCAAACATTTGAATCCAAGCTACCAACCAGTCGGTAAATGTTTGACACGGAAGAATTGTGTGGTTTTGCTGCCGTTTTTGTTGGTTAAGCTGATGACGTTTGAAAGCGCTGCCATATTTAAGGCCAAATTTTTTTAGAATCGTGTCCAATTCTTTGGGTATAATGCCAGAAGATTAGCAAAATGTACACAGGGATTGCTATTTTTAACCACAATAGTCTTAAAGTTGGTTGAAACAAAAGTAGTAAACAATGAAATACCTTAACAAGAGAGAACCATGGATTACTGCAACACATCCGTACGTCGGCCAGTATTTTCACAAGTTCAACAACTAGTATAGCAACCATGTATTCTCCCGAAGACGTACTAGATAGGAATACATTGTCTTCACCTGGCCTGTAAGAATGATAGATAAATGGTTAAGGATACTGTTGTGTTAATTGAATCAAAGATTTGAAAGCAAGGCCCTGATTCGGGAGTTGACAAATCCTGAGTATGGACAAGCCTCTGGTCTGCAACAACGCAGAATGAAGGGCTTCACAGAAAGCTTACAATGCAAGAGTGACCGACAAGTGTATGGACAGCAGTTTAATCCTTATTTCCATACCTGTCGTCTTATATACACAAGTATTCAGCATTTTGGGTGTTGTTGTGGATTAGCATATCGGTCGCTTGTTTTTGCGACAAACATATCATGTGGAAAAAAGTAGAATGGCATGTCGACTACTTAAGATGGTGTCAGCCCATCATTCAGGGGGCTTAGTGCAAATACTCGGTTAAACTGGTAATCTCGGAAAACGCAGGAGCGTAGGCGTTTTGCGCGGGAGATCTTAATTTGGCGGACGCCCCCGTACCCCCCTCTCTGAGTGACCCCTCCAACTCCCTTATGTATGGTGTGCTTTCTATGCTGATTGGAATTCATTATACAGACTGTTGGTTTTACGTCCTTCATTTCAACTTTTACGCTTTACAGTTCGTCGGATTTTTAACAAAACAAAGTTGTCATGCGTTGGATTTTTGCAAACACTGACTAGCACAAGCACATGCAGATGGTTCAGAGGTGATGAACAAGATGTCTATCGTTTTCTCAGTTCGATTGCCTTCTTGTGTGGTCACCAACACACTAAATTCTTGCCTTAAAAAACGAGGAAAAATTCGTTCGATATTTTTAGCTACTTGGAAAAACATTTATATGCCTACTAATACTAATATTACTAGTCAAGACAAATGTGCCACGTTTAGCATTTTAAAGTAAAAGATACATAGACTAAATCCTGGGCGAAAGAGAATTTTATGGTAAGAAGTATGTTTTGGAGAGCTATGTGTTTTGGCCAACTCGTCTATAGCTTCAAAGATACATCGCCAGTATGTAATCCTTAGAGGGATAACGCCTGACTTAGCACGTGTCACCACCGCATCTCTGAATTATCAGATGTGATAGTTTTACCTTTGACTATTAATACAACTTTACGTAAACCCCCTTTCCTATCTCGGTCTATATAACTTTGTATGTTTTTATGTACACAACACTGCCACCTCGGGCTAACCATGTCAACCGCGTCCGATTCACGCGCCCCGCTCGGCCGTCGTCGGTCAGTTTCGGTTAAATGGAACCGCTCGTTAAGCAAACCGCTCGGTTCATATCACATAAATATGAGCGGTAGACGGCCTCGCCGCTCAGCGCTAGCGTCGCCCTCCGACATCAACAGTTCATTCAAATACCCCCCGTAATTGGCTGTCATTTTAAATTGCCGCGAACATGTGACTTTATATCCGAACAATATCGGGTAAAATACGGCCGGGGCGGAAAGGTCCCGGTTCAAAAGGTCAAACTAGTTTTTCAGAAAGATTCTCGTTCAACTCCGGGAATTTATATTGCGATTGTGACGGTGCAGTGTCGTCGAACTCTGAGTTTAAAGTCGGACCGATCGAACAGTTCCGCGGACGGGCTGTGTAATAATTCCGAAAGTCGCCGTATATCGTGATATCGGAACCGGAATGTGACGCTCAGAAGGTTACCTCGTCAATGTCGGCGGACCTGATCCCGCATGCGCGATAACAGACCCGCTTCTCGGCCATGCGCCTGCGTCCTGCGTCCAGCTCAATGGAACCGTGTCATTAACTCGCCGAGCAACACAACTGCGCTGCAACAACAGAAACATAACGTCTCGTGCAACTGGCAAATTAGTCTATACAGTAGTTCTAAATAGAGGGTTTGGGGAACCTGGAGGTAGGAGGTTTTTACTTAACTTATTGATGGAGATGCTATTAACGTAATCTGTATATTGATTCATACACTACTAGTCCGTCGAACAAAGGTCAAAATCAAGATCATCGACAGGAACAAAAAGAGGCGAAATATCGATTCATTCAACTACACAATTCTTCACAAGCCTTCCGATTTGAACTCTGTTAACTTCACCATTCAGTGCACCCTTTTATGTTACGTGGTAGTGTCTGGTTGCAGTTAAGTTATGTATGTAACAGCTGTGTATGTTTCCTTAAAGAAGGAAGAAAGGATGTAAATTTCGTGTAGGGCCTATATTTACCCACCTGTATTCCGCTGCACCTAAGACTTCATAGACAAAATTTACATTCAGTATTACATTATTACAATTGTGTGTGATGGAGATCACTCGATTTAAACCAGTTCGATGCTGTATGATTTTTTTTACTTCAGGGGGCGCCAAACCATAACGTACAGAAACATGGACCATTGGCATAGATTAAACGTAAGTTAGTCTATGGTATAGATTATCACGAAAGCTGCTCCCCTTTAGGACGAGAGGTTCATCAGATTATGCGTTCTTTTCCTCAAGCACCCTTTGTGCCTAATTGTCATCGATCTAGTTAGTCGTAATCATGTTAAATTTGCTGTTTTGCTAAGAGCACAAGCTCATTTCTTGTGTTGTATTAAATCCTACATTTTTTCATTAGACTACTGAATTTCATTTATGATATTTGTCTTTGATATCTCAATTCGTCAATCGCGCATTCTGACGAGTACAATACCTACAATTCCCGTTTATCTTGATTATAGCATAGGGCCCATTGTTTGTCCTCAACTGCTTATCCCCTTGTGTTATCTTGTGCTTGAACACCCTTTAAGTCTACATTTTCTGACTCTGGTTCTAGAGTAGGTCCCACTGCTTAAACTAAACTGTCACATTGTGTCATATATCATATCTCTGAGTTTCAAACCGTTCGCTACTCCACACCACAGTTGTGGTGTAGGTGCCATTGTTATTTTGTGCGAATCCTTCGCCCCCGCCAGCCTACAGGCTCTCCCGCAATTAGCCCATCTGGGGCGGCGGTGACGCAACGCGGAATAAATTATGTCAAAGAACATTCTTTCTCACAAGATACTGCCGCGGGAACTCATAAGTTGCATCGGGCGAATTGGAACCCGAACGGCTCTCTTGACTGACGATCCTGATCTATAATAAATACCTACCGCATAACTGTCCACTACGCTACACGGCGCGTCCGCCGACGCAGGCCAAAAACACGTCAGGAAAACGTAGGAAATGTATCGTGGATGTTTTGGGGTTAAAGATCACATCAAGTTTACTTTGCTGTATGATTTTCGTTGTGAATATTTTGTGGAACACTTGAATAGTCTGGATAGCCGAGTGGTTATAGTGCTCGCCTTCAAATCTGAAGGTCGATGGTTCGAATCCACACGAGATCGTTTCCAGACCCAGATGCCATTTGCCATTGGGCTATGAATTAATGATGCTATCTAACGAAAAGGTCGACGTTAGATAGTAAAAAGACCAGGGTTTGGACCGTTCCCTTTCAAAACGTAAAAAATGCCTCTGGCGTGAAAACACAAAATAAATAATAAAATAAATCCGTTATTCAATATTACATTAACCCTTTTGATTGCCAAGAGCTGACTCGATCCACTTTTCTTTAGATCGTGAGAAGTCATGTTTATTTTATATAGCTGACATTTTGTGGACGTTATGTGGTTAAATCAAGTCCCGTTTACAGCGTTTGTTAACGTGTGTGTTTTTATTGATCACTTTAATAACTGTATGATATCATAGATGAAGTAGTTATTTTTATTCTATGATGATATGCTGTAGGTATTTGCTGGTGTTGTATGGTTTTTGCTTTCATGTTTTGCATGTATGGTATGTGTTAGTTCACTAACTAAAGGCACAATCCGCTAAAGGGGATTGCTCGATGTCGCTCTAGCACGGTCTTTTAGAACAGAACCTACTTATTATACTATTCATCGACGGTTCTGCTTAGTTATTTAAATTTTTTTCTTCCCATGTTATTCTTGTGGAAAATATTGTAAGATAATTTTGTAGTTTGCTTGTTTGTGGATATATTTTTATCAAACTAGGAAAATATATTTATTGTATACTAAGCTATTATTATTTTACTAAAAACACTTTATTACCCTTCCTGTAGCAGCAAACCTAGGTACTTGTTAAACCTAATTTTATTTAAATAGATTTTAATTGAAAACCCAATCAGGCAAATGGAAATTTGCTTATTCTGCAGTTTTGCTGCGGCGGGGATATTTAACATGTTATTAGGACCGCTACTATATATAACCAAATTTGCAGCTTCGAAAGATCTGTGCTAAAATCAAAATCTTAGGACTCGAAAAACCGCACAATTCTTCTAACAACTTATAAACTTGGAAATACACTACCTACTGATAGTGCGGTCCTAACAATGTAATAAAAAATCAGAACTAGCCAATTTTAGCAATTTTTGCGATTTCTAGTGTACTATTTGATTGGCCAATATTAGTTAAATTTCTACTTTTACCTATACTAAATTGACAAAAATTATTGTGATTCTTGAAGCTTTTTAGCAAATTTCCCCTATATAGAGAAAAAGATATTACCGTAGGTGGCATGGTTAAGATTTATTTTAATGTCCTTCAAGTAGATAAATGAATGATGGTGCTTCATGGCAAATCTGTATGTGCATACCTATAATTTAAGACCAAATTTACCTATGGCTCATGAGGTCTTTTCTCCAGGGAGACCCAGAGGAGGCTGACAATCCCAACACTGGCATTGGAGCGTTCCGGTTCATGCTGGAGACAAACAAAGGCCGTACCATGCTTGAGTTCCAAGAACTTATGACCGTGTTCCAGCTGCTTCATTGGAACGGCAGCCTCAAGGCGATGAGGGAAAGGCAGTGTTCCCGGCAAGAGGTAAGCTAGTGGTTGTGTTCTTTGGGGATTCGTGAAAACTCTGGGTTATTAAGGGAAATCGTTCAAAATCTCACAGAACTGCGGCCTCAGGGCAATGTCCCTAACAAGAAGTAAGCTAGTGGTTGTGTTCTTCGGGGATTTCAAAATCTCACAGAACTACAGCCTTAAGGCAATGTCCCTAACAACAAGAAGTAAGCTAGTAGTTGTGTTCTTCGGGGATTTCAAAATCTCACAGAACTACAGCCTTAAGGCAATGTCCCTAACAACAAGAAGTAAGCTAGTGGTTGTTTTCTTCGGGGATTTCAAAATCTCACAGAACTACAGCCTTAAGGCAATGTCCCTGACAAGAAGTAAGCTAGTGGTTGTGTTCTTCGGGTATTTGTGAAAGCGGTGGGTTATTAAGGAAAAGCATTCAAAATCTCACAGAACTACAGCCTCAAGGCAATATGTTAACAAGAGGTATGCTAATGAAATTTATAAATGAAGAATAAAAAGTGTGGGTTATGAGGGAAAATTAGTCACAATATCTTAGTTGAGAGGGACAAAATGTTCCCAACTTCTAGTAAGCTCTTGAGGAATTCATACAAACTGTGTTTTATAAAGAAAATCCAATTATAATTTCACAGAATTGCAGCTTAAAGGCAATGAGGGAGAGGCAGTGTTCTGACAAGAAGCAAGCTACCAGGTGCTCTTGAGGAATTTGTGAAAACTGTTGGTTAAGAGGGAAAGTGTTTAAAATCTTATAGAGTTTGACTGTTTCAAGCAAATTTAAGAGATACTACTGAGTAGATCTTGTACAATTTGCGGATGCTTATGCGATTAGTGGAGAAATCTTATACAAAAATGAATCAATACGCTACGAAACCTCATATGGTAACGCAGGACGTTCCACCACCTTAACAATCAATAAAGTCTCAGGAATCGCACGAGACGGGTTGCTGGGATTATCCAAGAGTCGATAGTGATTACAATAGCCTCAGTATTGATAGTCTCGATTAATCAGAGCTCCGAGTAACTAGTGTCCCTAGACACCACACTTACAGTCACCGCTCTAGTCAGAGGAGTTTTTGGGGGACCGATAATTTTGATGTGACTCTGTGGGTAGTAATGACTTAAAATGCTACTAACTATTTCATTACATAAGAAAATAAACCAAGTAGCTTCACCCTGCTTACCTACAGGGTTACACATGGGAACCTGCATCAGACAAAGGGTTAAAGTAGGCGTAACCTATATCCCACAGAGTCTGGTCTGAGTTTACTAAAAGAAAGTCGGCTAAGGTTGTCAGTGAGAAAAATGAACAAAAAGGTTGAAACAAAAAAATAAAGCTACTTCTTGAACGTGAAAACAAAACTAAAACTTCTACAGGTACGGTTACACCAGAGCGAACAGGAGGGAACCAAACGTTCAATGGTGTTCGCTGTGGTTCGCTAGCATTCGCGAACACCTGAGAATGGGAGTAGTCTCACCAGAGTGAACACACACGAATCGTATGATTGAAACGTCATTCGCTTGTGCTCCGCCACCACAAGAACTACACGGTGACAATAATCCCTGTTATCGCCACTGTGCAGTTCTTAAACAGACTGACTGTTTAGTAAAAAAACTGCTATTTTTTTATTTAACAGTTTATAATCAGCACTATTAGGATCCCATAACACTGGCCTTGCTGTGTTTTCTTCAATCAGCTCCAACATCAGTCCACTCCATAGTTAAACAAAATAGGAATAATTAATTGTAGTACAACTAAAAAAACAACCTTTGACCTAAACAACTTGTTGTTAGCTGTAATGTAGACACCGGCAAGGACCAGACTGGAGTCACTCCGATGTGGTCACACTGAAGCGAGCACCGAACTCTGGCGAACCCGAATTTCCTTTGATCATTCACTCTGAAACCGACAATGGATGGACAATGGAAAAGCTAGGTGCGAACACGAACATGCGATTATCGAGCACTGCCGAACAGTTCCTGTTCGCTCTGGTGTAACCGTACCTTACCTTGTAACGTGGGCAATTTAAGCAAACTAGGCAACAGAAACCTGGGACAAACTCATGGGCGTCACTCGTATTTTAAAAGAAATAAAAATTAAAAAAAGAAAGTCTCTATACAAATTTAAAAACGTTAGTTTAAAAAGATTGTCACCAACTTCAATTTCCTCACTTAATTGGTTGGTTAAATAGCGATAGTGTGTAGTAGAGTTAGGCCTGAAGTCAAGCCTAGCCTTCGAATTACGATAAAGTTTTTCTAACTAAAACTGGAAGAGATCTAATTAAATAGAACTAAAATGCTGTCACGCAACTCACCAAATGACGAAACAGATATAGAAATGAACTTACACGTTTTACCACAAACTAGGAATACGACTCTTCCAAAAATTAACTTACAGAGGCGAGAAACTCACAAACGATTTTAACGACTATCCACAGCTGAGATCACAGTTTGAATGGCCCACTTCCTCTTTACTTCTCAGGACCAAGCAGTCAACATCAAACACACATCTGATTGGCCAGAGGTTACGAAATAAAGACAAAAAACCGATACTTGGCAAAAGGATAGTTAGAAGAAGAACCACGGAAGGGACGAAGAAGTAAAAACCAAAGTAAACGGAACTTTAGCATAAAAAGGAAGAAGTAAAACCGGCAGAAAAAAAGTAGTTTTACTTCCTGGATCCAGGATCTCAGTCTGTCGATGCATCTGTCACCTTGGTTACATTTCAAGGTTATGTTATTGTCGCGACATGGGCTCAACAGCGAACGTCTAGCTGGTTAACTTTACCAGGTAGTTCCGTGGTAATAAACTGTTTTTTTACTAAGATAGTGATTCCTTCCCTCTACCAACACCAGGTAAACTGAGGTCTTCTTTAGTAGTTCAACCTGGTTACAATACCTTCTGAAATTACCCCTTGCCCTTAACCAAATAGGCCTGTTACAAATAAGTTGTACTATGTTTTAACTTAAGTTGTTTTTTAACATCGCTGTAGACAAATCCGCGCAATACTGTATGGCTTTGTATGTTTGAGGTTGAGTCAAATTGTTTTCATCCTACCAAGATGTCAAGATGGGAACCCAACTAGTTGTGTTTTTACACAAATAAGGGCTAAGGATGAATGTACAATGGAGTGAGATGGATTTTGTAGTTTTTTACTGACTAAGACTAGCTATTTCTTTAGCCAATATTTATCCATCTCAAGCTCCTTTTATACTCTGCGGCACGCCGGACGCAGCTGCATTCGACGACAGGCGCCACATGTTTGTGCGGCAGCCATGGCATCGGTGGAGGTATCAGGGTTACCAACTTAGGGATTTCTATATTTACTTTAATCCTAGTACTATACGTAATTTTACATACACAAAACTTGCAAACTGATACAAAGAAAATTAAAAGAAAAACACCTACGACAGTGGCAACATAAAGTGAAATGGGGGTGGAGGCAAGGCAGTACCGTGTTGGGTTGAGTTTGTTTTGATCAGTTGGCAGCACTTGACAGCGCCGCTGCGGCCCCCCGTTGAGTATAAAAGCACCCATTTAACTCAATGCACTTGCAGGGCCGTCGAACGCAGCAGCGTGCGGCGTGCCGCACAGTAAAAGGGGCCTCAATAACAGTGTTTAACCCATTGGTGATGGAATAATATTTTTTTATTTCTCTAGTAATAATTTTTAAGTTATGTCTTTTATCACATATTTCAACACAATATGTCCATTTCTAAGCAAAATAAAGGCAAAAAAAATCTTTGCCCTCTTCCGCTATACCAATGTAAAAAGAAGCAAAAAAGGTGTTGTGTGTAAGTAAACCTTATTAAACTCATTAATGCTGTCACCTTCGACCAAATCCTGACAACTTTTATCTAAGATGAACTCTCCACTCCATCTAAGCTACATTAGCAGTCTCAACATGGATTGCAATGGCATGAATTGCCACTATAAGCACATGGGGAGCGAGCTGGTCTAGTGGTTAGAGCGTGGGACTCCAGTCCCTGAGGTCCCGGGTTCGAATCCCGCCAATCACCAATGGATTTTATCTAAGTGATAATGCCACAGCCACTAGGTCTAGCCTGAAGTAATGTGAAAAACAATTCCATGCTCGTGCCTAGCGTCTTAGAAAAAAAAAAGAATAAAAAACTAATCACATGACCATACTAGCGCTCATAGGTTAGATTTGGTGTACTACTTGAGCGCCAGTGAATAAACAGGTAGTTAAATTCATTTTAACAACATATAGGGAACAAACAGTTTTAAAATTGTAATCTAAGGATTGATTAAATATTTTAGTACTGAACAATAACAATTTTGTGTTTCTCTCACTTCCCTCTTGTCACAGGTGGTGGCACACTATAGCAACAGAGCGCTGGATGATGACATGCGCTCACAGATGGCGCTCGACTGGATCGCACGGGAACAAGAATGTCTCGGAGCACTTGGACGCGAGCTGAACCAAGCCGAGCGTGAGCTGGAAACCGCAAGGCTCGCCGGACGAGAACTTCGCTTCCCCAAGGAGAAGAAGGATATCCTTATGTTGGCCCACACCCAGGTCAGCGGAGGGTCACTGTCCAGCTAAAACTGCCAAAGTCCAAATTTGGAATTCCTTTTGTATAGTACGCGTGCGACTTTTCAATACCTAAGAAAATTTTGTGTGATTTAATGAATTTGTGATATGAAAATTAATTTTTGTCTGAGTAAAATTATTGGTGATGTTTGAAAATGAGCTGCCCATGTATATGGAGATTAGACATTTGTAGATTCATCATCGGATCTACTGAATATGATTTTAAGCTGTTCTATGTTCTTTAACTTCAAAGTGACTGTTTAACATTTATTTCCTTCACTAGCTTGAGAACTATTATGACCATACAAAACAATCAAAAGAGAGAAACACATAGCTGACATCTGTGATGAAACAGTTAAAACGATCAGATCATATGATAGGAATGAAAATCTACTTGCGGTTTCTATGATTATTTATGTTCAGCTGAGTCAATTTTTGTGTTTTGGCGTGTATAATAAACTTGAGTAAAACTGCTAACCTCTATTATGGGACATTTTACAAATTCGCCTATACATTTATTTTGTCCATCTGTGGAACCCATTAAGATAGAATTTTAAAACTTCCTTTTAAATGGGACTGCAGCCTTATAGTTTTGAATTTTATGTAAATTTTACCTATTTGAAACACAAATCCTTTTATTGTGGCTTAATTTCTCTTTATATGGTAAAGTAATTAACTTTTCTATTTTTATCATGAATTCTGTATTAAATTGTATACAAATATAAATTCCAAAAACGTTTTTATGAACTTCCTCTGTTAGTTGCGGTTCTAAAAGTGACAGTTAAATCGAGGTTCAAATGTTTTAAACTCCTTGAAGTTAAGTTCCTTGAAGTTGGAAGAGCGTTAAAAATATGGCAAGTGTTAAAAGTATGGCTCAGACATATATCCTTCAATAAAGGTAACTGAGCAAGACTTGATGAAATGTGATAAATTTACTGGATATGTTGATCTATTATTCCTTGCTTTTACTCACAAAATCACATTCTCTTGTTAGGTATTGAAAAGTCTGTTAGGTAAATAAGCTATCGTTATGTAAATTTTGAATCGGAAACGGCTTAGTAATTCAATGCAGTAGAAACTGATCTTCAGTGATCAAAATAACAGCCATAACATTTGATGGGAATACTTACAATAGAATAGTACTGTAATAGCCATTAAACATAGCCATATAATTATTAGATATAATTTTCTATAATGTAGTCAGCCAAATATGTCTAATAACTTATAGACTGTACTATACACCAATGTAAAATAGATTAACTCCACTTAGCAATAATACTGTATGCGATACATATTTTGGAAAGCAAAGTTATAAGGACTATTATTAAATTTGTGTCACCTAATATAATTAATACTTGTTGAGTCCTGTATATGTTGTAATCAAAAGATATAACTGAAGTTGATATTGTTAGTTAAATAGCCATTTATTTATTTGTTTCCTTAGAAGAGTTTTAGTTTAAATTGTTATACGATTTGGTATCTATTAATTGTTATAAATTTTTTTTGTTGTATCTTTTAATCAACCAATGATTTTAAATACGCTAACTCTCTCTCATTTGGAATGTTTGGGGTGGGTTCATTCTTGAAACTAAAAGATTATGAACCAGTTGAAGGTAAAAAAAAAAACTAATCCAAACATTTCACAACTATGCATTATTTAAACAAATTTAATTGACTACAGTTCACTTCTAAGCAATAAAGCAGTAATTTCCGTTCAGTGCTGGATGAACAGGTATTTGATTTTTACGGCTATTTCCAGAGTGAGTGTAAGTGCCCAAAGTTCAAACCATATGTAATCTGAACCATCCAAATTTCAAACCAGATGTAGTCCGAACCATCCGAATTTCAAACCATATGTAGTCCGAAACATCCAAAGTTCAAACCATATGTAGTCCGAACCATCCGAAGTTCAAACCATATGTAGTCCGAACCGTCCGAAGTTCAAACCATATGTAGTCCGAACCATCCAAAGTTCAAACCATATGTAGTCCGAGCCATCCGAATTTCAAACCATATGTAGTCCGAGCCATCCGAATTTCAAACCATATGTAGTCCGAACCATCCAAAGTTCAAACCATATGTAGTCCGAACCATCCGAATTTCAAACCATATGTAGTCCAAACCATCCAAAGTTCAAACCATATAAAATCCGAACCATCTGAGGTTTAAAACATGGGAAGTTTGAACCATCCAAAGTCTAAATCATCTAACTACAAGGGAGTGGTGCAGTTGTTTGGAATGCAATTTCTTTAAACTTAAATATGTTTTCCATCTCTTAAAGAAATTCTCCACCCTTGAAACAAAAGACTACATCACTGGTAAAGAAACCTTGTGAATAGAAATATTGTCCTACATTGTTAGAATATTTGGGTCATCAAAGTATTGAACAAGTTCTTTCTAAAGTGTTCCCCTTGGTTGTGGATTTTGATCCTCTTAAAGATGCATATCAATTTTGAGTTAATTCAGTGCTTTGCAATTTAACCCTCTGGGCATATTTTGATGCTGTCTTTTCTGTTAAATAATGCTCAGCTTTAAGAGTATCAAAACCTTTATAGAAATTGATAACTGGCTTTTGCTTTTGTATATAATGACTGATTTCCACGGTCGCGTGCCATGGAATTATATGTGATTTATTTATATATGTATAATATTTATAGAATTTATTTCTTGTGCCTTAACCTTTGGGCCTTGAAAATGTAAATAAGTCGTGTAATATTGTTAATTGTCAAATTGTGATTTTGTTAAGAAATTATTTATTTTATCGATAAAGATTGTAAGTAATGGAAACATCATGATGAAGAATGGTTGTTGAAAACCCCCTAAATTAACGGTGCTATTGTTAACAGGTTTTATTTTGTTTAAATATTTCTATAGATTATATTTAACCTCATCAACAATTAGTCAGTCTTTGAACTTATAAAATTTGGCTATCAGAGAAGAACTTTTACGCTGTTTTATTAATAATTTTTTTGCCATAAATCTCGTACTGATTTGTATTTCAATTGTTTGGCATACTCATAGTTCTAAAGAATGACTTTTACATCTGAATTTATTTTAATATTCATTAACTAAACTAGTTTACGATTGGATCTACTTATTTCTCTTTCCCCACATGTCAACATTGTTGACTACATTTTAATTTTTGTTATTTTTAGTCCTGAATAGTTAAAGCAATTATACCTTTCTTACACTTTCAGAAGCTGGTCAGGCACAAAAGAGATGGCAACGATTAAACAAATTTCTTTTATTTAACTCAGAAGCAGGGGATTCAAAAATGTTCCTTCTATTATTTATAGTTGTAAAATCATACCGGTTATGTCTTACTGACACTATACCTACCTATTTAATTTACAATTATGACTCAAATATTAGGTACTTTTAGAACATCTTAAAATCCAGTATTTAATATTTTACTTTTGCCTTTAAATTGTGATTACATTTCTGTCAACATTATGACAAAATATTTATGAAAAGGAAATAAATTACTAATTCTCATTCACAAGAACATTGAATATATGCGTTGTTATCTATGTAATATCTAATTGATCTCATAATTGTGTTTATTGTAATCATTACCCTGCATTATAGGCTACAGGGTGTTTCAGAAGTCTTTATTGGCGTTTTTGGGCTGGTTCTGGAAAAAAAACTAAAAGTTATTAAGTTCCCAGTTACACTATGTGTCACCATTTTATTTTACATGCATAATATTTCATCTTATGATATTTTAATAAATATGGTTTGGGTGTATGCCCGATCAAGGCTTATTTCATTAAAACATATTTAATAGGCTCTTTCAGAATTAAAAATGGAGGACATTTCAAATTTTCAAATAAATTAAAATGTCATTTAACAATCCATTTTATTAGAAAGCTAAATTATAAATCCAACCAAAATCTTCCAAATCGGTTAAGACACAACTGAGTTATGTCAAATTTTGTTTAGCAAAAACAAACGTGGAAACATCCATCGATGACCATGGAAAGGTACAGACATATGATGGTTTTTTTTTTTACACTTTTTACATAGCCCATTATTGTTTCTTGTTTAATTCATAAGACTGTAGTCATTTGGGTTTAAATTAAATCTTCTTATAAAAGTTATTAAAACAGTACTTACATTTTTTGACGATTCTACCAAATTTCTCTTATTTCAAATTCATTATTAAGAGCATTTTTGAAGTCCGCAGTCGGAAACTCATTTAATAATTTTTACAAAATAACTCTAATCAGAAAAAAAACCTTACGAGTTTTGAAACACCCTGTATTTTAATATTAAACATGTGTTGTATTTTTTCACGATGCAAATTGTTTTGTGCATAGCTTTTGTAATAAAAATATATTGAATATATGTTGAAGTGTTGTTTTTAGTACAAACTCCTTCCTTATGACTCAATTGTGTAATAAATTCAAATAATTATTCTGGACTAGTTACTCTGCCGAGCTTCTAAAGGGGAAAGTGGTTCTTCACTGTCTTTTCCAATGTGAACTACAATCATCCATTGGTGCTTTTCTTGACTTACCTGGTACTGGGACGGGTGGCGTCGTCCTGTAATCCAGCTACTAGGAGGTCACGAATTGTGGATATTTATAGGCATGCACTGTGGATGCGATACTCTCTGGTATGGGTTAACGTCTGCACGAGTGAGTAGTATGACTATCCGCAGTACTATCCTAATAATTAGACCAATAAGGCAAAAATGTGGTTCGGATTCCACTATAAACTGTAGGTCCATTAGTTGCCATTAACTGTATGGGCTATTAATTAACAGCTGTGTCTAAGGAATATGTCGGCCTTAGTCACTAACAAGACTACAAGATCGCACCACTCATCCTACACTCATCTCCATTCATACTTGGCTTAAAATACCTATTTCGTATGGTCGCCGTTTCAACGAAAAGTATTAAAGTTTTAAGTATTAAAGTATGTCCATGTCAGAAGGAAAATTTTAAAGGTGTTATGTTTTACTAGTTGGAACACATAAGACTTCTTCAACACTACATGGTTCTTGTTTCACCTAATTTTACAATACATTTGTCTGCAACATCAAGTACTGTGTTGTTGTTGTTATTTTTATTTTTTTACTGGACAATGGAATAATTTGTTATCAATTGGAAAACTTAAATACCACCTCACATCATATAAAAAAACGTTTTGTCATTTTTCATGGTGTGAAATATAAAATTTATGATAATAATCAAAACCTTAACCTAGGATGAAAGTAAACAAACAATTATTTAAAAAAATGTATCAGTTGTTAAAAATATTGAAGATGCATAAACTGATTATCAGTTTATGCATCTACAATATTTTTAACTATAGTTTGGCCGCTTAGAAAGCGACCTCCTCTAACATTGGTTTAGCATTAGCGCGCAGGTCGTTTTCTAAGCGGCCGAACTAAAGCTGTTTTGCCCACTTCGGGTAAACTTATAAATTAATTGTTAAATAAATTCATCACCTGTGATAGCTGTAAATCTTAGGGATTGTCGTTTATAAACAAACTACCAATATAATTAATTACTTATCCAAGCACTTAAATAATACCTATGCAAAATGCAGCTTTTCAACCATTACCATCTTTTTTGTCCCAAATAAAGTTATCTGGAAAGTACTGTTGTATTTGTTTAAGAAACAAAATTTCACCATCAGGATGATTACCAATGATAAAGCTATTTAAGGATTTAGACCATTGTTTTGACTGCAGTATGAAGAAAAAGTTATCTTAACGCATTAATCAGTGATATCTATAAGAGTCAGAAGATAAACTTATGTAAGCAATAGGTTTATATGCTTATCACATTCCATGGTTTTTATTAGTACACTAGCTGTTGTACCCGGGAAGAGAACACAAAATAGAAACCTTTTATCTTTACATCTGTTGCATATAATAGTTACACATCCGCCAACGCTTTTAGAAACAAAATTCAACTTTTATGGCCTTAATAGAAACGTTTAAGTTATGACTTTTAAATCTGGTAAGTAGTGGATACCACCATTTTGGTTTTTATTAATTTAATTTTAAATTTTGTGTAGGCTGATATGAGAAAACTGACCAAATCTTCTGATAAAACTTTGACATTCATGATCACTTCATCTCCCTTAATTACATATATTTTAATTTATTATCGACATTTTAAATTTCAATTTTGAAGTTGCAAAAATACTAATTATTAAATTTAAATGAATTTTTATTTATTTCACTCTTCTTTATATTGAATCACAAATCCTTCCATCTTCAGTTACTTCACTCACAATAAATTATTAGCAAAACTAAGTCAGCTGTTATAAACTTTATAAATATTGCTGTGCCTTATAAATTCAGTCTTTTGAAATATTAAAGAAACTATATCTATAGGTACTATAAAAAATGTTTAACAAATAATTTAGCATTAAAGACAGCAGGCAAACCTAATATGATTATCAAAGCATCAAGTACTAAAAAATGTAATAGCAAATACAGTATATGTTTCATTGCATCTCTGATTCTACACTCTACAAAAATATCAACAAACAACTTAAAAAATATATATATATATACAAACCAGTTCTTTTCATCAGTTCCATCATCCATTGCCTTTACATTTTCACACTTACCATTAAGTAAACATAGTAACAGATATTTAATTGATTTTAGAAACAAAAGAACACTGTGTACTGCTTAGTTTTATGATATTTTCCTTGGTTTAATTTAATCAGTGGTGTGGCAAAACAAATAATAAATGTATCAAATAAAGTAAATGTGAACTGAAGCTATGTTAAGATAAAATAAGAGTATTTTGTATTACCATTTGATAATTAAATATATAGGTAGTTACACATATAGGCTACAACAGATGTTAGAAAACAAAAATCAACGGTACAATTTAGTTATTGGTAATATTCTTTAGTTTAATTTAAGCATAGGTTTAGCAAAACACGATAACTTTAACTTACCTAAATATACATATAAAAAACAATGTGATGTGCAAGTTATCTTAAGTTAATCTAATACATGTTAAGCAGTTAGAATTTATTTAAAGTAGCCTCCAAATTTATACAAAACATCTATAGCCTACATTGTAATTGTCATACTGTTTCCATGAAAACGTATTCAATAACATTATTTTCATAACTTAGACACTTTAAAAAATCCAAAGCAGAGCCGGAGTTGATACAGCAACGATTATAGAATATTTTTTTTATAATCATTGACATAGTTTTAGAATAAATAATCCATGATAAAAGGTTAGATTAAAATAAACCTACCTCATAGTTATAGAAAATATTATATTTAATTTCTTTGTATCAGCTGTCTGAAATATGCAGTTTAGCAGTTCTTCTTGTTTACATTTAAATGTCAAAGCAAATGTAAACAAACATTGTTAGTGTTCTCATCACAGCCATGGAGACCAATCAATATTTACTTTTAAAATGTTCACCTAAGAACTTTTAAAGCCAAAGGGGCAAAGCCTACGGTCAGTATCGAAATGTGAATAGTCCTATAATGGTCCTTGGTATGGTAGCTATATTTTTGTAAAATTTAAGCCCAGTTGGTTCAGTAGTTTTTGCACCTATTAGTAATACACATACAGACACCATTAGATTTTTATATAATAGTATAGATATAGATTGCCGAAAGCCCAAAAACTCAAACAGACAACAGTTAAAAATGGCATCTATTCAAAGATTTCTTAAATTTTACCCCACTTTTTGTCATTGGAAAAATTATAACATTTGAGATAGGCCTACATACATTTTGAACAACTGTCATTTGGAGGCTCAGTTGTAGGTTGCGGCATTGTATTATAATTCTACTATAAAATACCTTTTTTATGAGTGTTAAAGTATTACACTAGGATTACTTCTAACAATTCTCTTCTGACTCCTAGCAAGCGGTTCCCCTAAAGAGGTGGCGTGTATCATTGAATAATGTGTTCAAATGATTATTATGTCCAGTAACTTGAATCCAAGTTTTATAGCTCTATTTTTATTATTTGTTAAATTTGAAATTCATTTTTGATGATGGTGAGTTAATGTTGTTCAAAGGTTTATTGCGGACATTTGTACTCATTATTGTCCTCAGCTTTTTTCCACCTTGTTTTTAAGAATAGCTTGGATACACCTGCATATACCGTTTAAAAGCACCAACATCTATTCCTATCAACCACACAGTCAGAAAACGTCCAACAAAAATGTTGCCAAATTTCTTCAGATTTAAAAGTAATTACAAACATCTCTTTGAATTCCTCAAACCTTTTCCGTGCTGTCCCACAGACTAACTCCGAACATAAACAAAGGATGTGCACTTCAGAATGCGACTCACGATTGTCAACGTACTTGCAGGATTAATTAAGTCCAACAATTACAAAACGGAGTACGGAAGATCTCCAGTTATGGTAATTGTGGCCAGCATCCTCAATCAATGAGTTCCACAGACAATGGAAGGTTCGAGCCATCTGTCTTTGGACACAATTACATCTCTGGACCGTTACTGCTGACATCTGGCACTTGGGAAATCTCTTTGGTCAAGTATGGCCATTAAAGAGTTGAAGCAGTTTAAGGGAGTAGGGTAAAATGCAGTACTTGAATAGCATGGCTTTGATAAAAGTAGTTTTCCCTGAACAAAACTTAGGCGGTTTTAGGGAAAGTCCACCAACACCTTTTTTGCTTAATTAACTGAAAAGGTCCTATTTTTTAGTTCACAGTAAGTGTAGCATAATTCAGAACTGCGTAATTCAGTTGAAATTAAAAAATAGCATTGTAACTGTTCAAATGGTGAACAATTGTGAATAATTATTATCTCTTACTAAGCCTACTTATTATCTCTGTACGGCCATATTGCTGGCTCTATCAAATTATTGTTGAAACCTATAAATTGAAAATAATAAAAATACTTAGAAATTAACATGCCTACTTATATTTTTTTATAAAAACCTTTCTAGCCTTGCATTGTGCTTTTGTATGAGTAAATAAATATATTTTCAGATAACATGGTTTCTCAGTTAAAAATACTTTTCAAGACGACACATGTCACAAACTACAAATATTGAGCAAGAAATGCCATCAAAGTAATTTACAACATTTTTTGAAAATTTCCAATACTGTATAGGGAACGTCTCCAGGATAAGATCTAGACCCTGGACGGATTTACTTTTCGTTTTGATGTCCTCAGAGGCCCAAAAACAACATCCGTTCCAATTCATGTATATACAGGGTGTTTCGTGACTCTCTACCAACCTTTTAAGGTATTATTTTAGGGTTCATGACAAATTTAAATATTGCATATAAATCTCTCTCTGTAAGTCAATGATTACTTGCAGACCCGCCATTTTGTATTTTTTGAAAACCGCCTTTTTCCTCAATAACCGCATTAAAATTCTGAAACGTTGCATGAATCTACAGACTTATGATTGACTGAGAGACGATTTGAATGTGATGTGTACATTTGTTATGAACTTGTTATGAAAGGTACAGAGTTACGAAATACCCTGTACTTAGATGTATGTTTATATAAAGGGTGTATACAAACTCTTTGGAAAGCATTTGTACTTGAAGAGATACCATATAACATACTAATAATAACTCCGATGACGAACGGTTTGGGGAATATTTTATTCATTGAATGATCAACCAAATTTGGCAACTAACACAATTAATATCATTATTGTTTTTACACTTATTACTCTTTAAACAATGCTAAATGCTCAAAAAATGTATACTTCACCCAATTTATCGCAGTTAGATGAATTAATGTAAGCCTTGAAAGTAACCGTTGATTTCGACGGGTTTCATCTAGTAACTAATAAGAGGTATATTTTTGTTTTAAGAAAACATTTCATGCACAATCAAATGATACTATAAATTCACTTATTATAATAAAGTTTTACTGTAACTATATTTAGTGAGTAATTTTTTTCTTTAGTTTATTGAAATTCAAATGATCGAAATTAAATTAAGACCTGGCACTGTGAATGCTAGTACAATCTTTTATTTATTAACCATTACCTGAAGTTTCATATAACTTTGAAACAGCGATGTTAAATTTTTGTGTGAAATTCATTACAGAAGTGGTATTTCACAATGCTAGAGTGCTCCACAGTTATGTAACAATCATTAAACATATGGTAGGCTAGTTGGGTAACCGTTCACCAGCACCATTGTAGGTCTATCGCTATTCACAGCCTTCTTCCAGAGGATTCACTATGAGGTTCCTGGTTCTCCTGCTGCTCATTGCGGTCTTGGCGACTTCCGAAGCCTGTGAACCTTCTGGATGGATGTCCGAAGCATCCGGAAAGGTCGTGGAATGGATCGATCCTTCTTACTGGTCGTCTAGGAGTTCTAAATTAATCAGCCGTTAGGTGAGCTTAGATAAGAAAACGTGAATGTAATTTTTTATCCTGGTAAACATTTTTATATTAATATTATAATTTGAAATTCATTGTTATGATCACTTGATGGATATCCAAGCTCTCAACAACCTAGATCCCGACATGAGATGAAATTTTGTATAATTTATAAAAAAGTAATATTATGATGATTGTCAAGTTTAAAAAACTCAAAATCTTATACAGCGGTAGTACAGGGTATTTATAAAAAAAAAACTTTTCATATTCAAACAACCATAACATCTTTTTTCCACTTAAAGCTATGAAATGACAACCAAAGTCTAGGAAATTATTTCAAGTTTTGGTACATAATAAGGAGTATACCTAACTTCAATGTGTTTTCCTTAATTTGTACGTAATAATCGAGTATAAATTCCAGTTTGGACCTGGAATAAGAAAATTTATTCCAGCAGACGCTCTTTGAGTTCTTTAGTGTTCATTTTACGCAGCAACAATACAATTGTATTGCTAAAGCAAACCAATCAGCTGATAAAACTGCTACTGATTAAAACTTAATTAGCCACTCTTTCATGTGTTGTTTTAGAAAACTGATTTGTTCCATGAGAAGAGGATGGGAGGATAAAGTTGTAAAAGTTTTTTATATAAACACCCTGTACTTTTAAGCAATTTAGTGACTACTTACAGTTCAAAAGTTTACATTTGCACAACATTTCGGAGAATTTTGTAAGTAAGAGATAAATTCAAAACACACTGTTTCTTGAATAGCTTCTTTCTTCTAAATTTATTTATGACAATTAGTATATCTCGTTATGAATGTGTAAAAACAATATTTGTCTGCCTAAATGGGAAAAATTGTTGGTTTAATATAATAATGATTATATTTTAACCTAGTTGTCCTAATTTTGCGAAACAATTTACTTTATTGTTGACGACGATAAGTTTGAAATTTCCATTCCCATTGCAAAAAAGTGTAGGAAACTTACAACAACATGATTCAACTTTGGCGTTCTGACACAAAATCATGTTTAAAATATTATTAGGTATAAGAGATTTGTATCTCTTATTTGCAGACAAAAAAATCCCTACTTCAACTGAGGAGAACTCTTAACTACAAAGTCTTATAGTTTGGCATGAGCTCCGATTGATCATTAAAGGTGTTTCACAATATTTATAAAAAGAAAGTTAATGGAGATAAAATAAACACACCTACATGTTTTTTACAAAATACTTTGTTGTAATTAATTTTACTCTTGTATGAATTTTGTACTCTATTTCGATTACATTACCGGTTGTTCAAAAACTTAAAAAATGTTACATATAGATAAATATATGTTTAAAAAAACGTTTTAAATATAAAGCTCTTTATTTTATTTTTTTAATCAGTTTGCCAACATTTACTGCAAGCTCCCTTTTGTAGTTGTTTAAAAAATCTATTATTTGGTTAAGATTGATAGTCAAGCCATTTTTATAATTCGTTATGTTTTTTTTTCAGTAAAGTTCCGTCAACTGGAAGAGCCATTCCTTCTATACTGATTCCATGCTTCTCCTGCAGAAGTAATTCTTTAATAAAATAATTAACCGAACAGTTCTTATTATTCATTTCATACCCTCCAGCCAGCACCTTGCTACCATACCTTTAAGTTTTGTATTGTATTGTTAACTAAGAGCTACACTCTATCTCTTCAAAAAATCCCAATAAGTATATTATGTAGATGAGTAATGAGACACAGAAACATAATTGCAATACAAGTAAATATACTCAAAGTCAATGATAATTGATTTAATTGAGGACTATTCATTAACAAACCCAATGTCAAAAAAGCCTCATGTGCCATACAAAGCATGCGAGGGATGAAAACCTACATTTCCCTAGGTATGCAGTCTCAGGTCAAAAAGGTGAACTATCAAACTTCTTTCTAAACATAATATTTCATTTTGATTACTATAGGACCCATATGCTGCTCTGCAGCGTTAAAATAAATACCATATCTATATAAATAAAATTAGAGTTTTGTCTGTACATTGCTTAGAATAATGAACTTTTTGGTTATTTTTACATTTCATAGGTCAGAGAAACCGAATCAAACCTTATCTCAATTTCTGTCTGTCTGTCTGTCTGTCTGTCTGTCTGTCTATCTGTCATTCTCTTGGTAACGCTAAAATACGCACTTTATTACAACTACTCCTCAATAACTATAGCACTGTCCCGCCTGAAACTTATTTTCCAAATACTATACATATATGAGATGGTTTTAGACGTATTTCATCGAATATGAGACAGTTAGATATTTAACAGTAAACCCTTGAAAATCAAGTTTTTGTCGATTTTTGACGTGGAATTTCTGGAAGAATGTTGCTTTGTTTACAACTAATCATATGCACATGGTTTTAATTGAAATACAATCTTAATTTTGACATTGGCATACAGCTGTGATTAGAAAACGTTAGCCTATTTGAACTCAAGGTTAACCATAGCCTTATCGATTCACACAACTTAAAAACCATACGAAATGTATACTATATTATATAACTGAACACCAGTTCTGCTAATTATAACAATGGGTTTTGTACATTTCATCCATTACCGTACAAATAATTAAAATAATAATACATTAATTGGTTAGAAGTAAATTTAATTCAAATTACAGATTCAATACAAAGTATTCAATATAAAAGTTAAACATTTTAGATAACAAAATTACGATCAGCTGATTGTTATTCTTTAATATCTGTGCGCTACTAACCAGCAAACAAACTTGACCAGTTTATTATTGTTCATTACTCTTTACACCAAAATAAAAGTTATAATAGTTAATAATGTCCTAAATTATTTCACGTTTATAAATAAAAGAAAATCTACTCTTCTTTTAATTTATTTTTTTTTGAGGTAATGTTTTTAAAAAAGTTCATATTCCCATATGAATTTGCATCAATCAGATGTTTCATACTGTACAGTAGAGATATTCGTTGACATAGTGTCAAACACAAATTAAATTTGTTTACAACTAAACATATGGACAATATTTTTGTTGCTTTAGTTGAGAGGTTACAAGTTAATCTTTAATACATTATTTGTTGAAATATTTTCTATTGTTTCTAAATAAATATGTCCTGAAGAGTATGCCTCGCAAGAGAAAAAGCAATTTGGGTAGAAAAACAAATAATGCCAAGAGACAAAAATTGTGTGTATCCACGGAATCAGTTGATTATGATGATTCGGACTCTGATGATGGTGTACATAGCAATAAGTTCCGTTGTGGTTGAAGATTATGCACGACCTTCAACCAGTCGAGAGCGTGTCGCCCTATTTAGGTCTCAGCAGAATGAAAAAGAACGTGAAAGCAGGCGAGACACTGAACGTTTAAGATTTAGCCAAAGAATACAAAATGAGACGGAAGAGGAGCGAGAAGCTCGACGGAACAGGGACCGAATACGGCACGTCCAGAGAAAAGAAAATGAGACAGAAGAGGAGCGAGATGCACGTCGGTGCAGCAACCGAATACAGCAAGTTCAGAAGAGGGGAAACGAGACAGAGGTTGAGCGAGAAGCACGTCGGAACAGTGACCGAATACTACACGTTCGGGGGAGGGAAAACGAAACAGAGGAGGAGCAAGAAGCACGTCGGGAGAGTGACCGAATACTACATGTTCAGAGGAGGGAAAACGAGACAGATGAGAAGCGAGAAGCACGTCGGAACAGTGACCGAATAATACACGTAAGGAAGAGGGAAAATGAAACAGAGGAGGAGCAAGAAGCACGTCGGGAGAGTGACCGAAAACTACATGTTCAGAGGAGGGAAAACGAGACAGATGAGGAGCGAGAAGCACGTCGGAACAGTGACCGAATACGACACGTACGGAAGAGGGAAAACGAAACAGAGGAGGAGCAAGAAGCACGTCGGGAGAGTGACCGAAAACTACATGTTCAGAGGAGGGAAAACGAGACAGATGAGGAGCGAGAAGCACGTCGGAACAGTGACCGAATACGACACGTACGGAAGAGGGAAAACGAAACAGAGGAGGAGCAAGAAGCACGTCGGAACAATGACCGAATATTACACGTCCAGAGAAGGGAAAACGAAACAGAGGAGGAGCAAGAAGCACGTCGGGAGAGTGACCGAATACTACATGTTCAAAGGAGGGAAAACGAGACAGTGGAGGAGGGAGGAGCACGTCGAAACAGTGACCGAATCCTACACGTTCGCAGGAGGGAAAATGAAACAAGAGAAGAGAGAGAAAGTAGGCAAGAACGAGATAGAGTTCGGCAAAACCAACGTAGGAATAATGAAACTCCTGAAGAGCGGGAAGCTAGACATATAATCGACAATGATAGGTACCGTCGCACTGTTGAAGAGCAAACTCTACTTTTGCATGACGAGGCGACCCGAGTGGAGGAACTTCGAGCAAGCCAGGACATTGCTGACAGAAATGCCCGTGTTGCCGCTGATTCTGAAAGACATAGGGTGAACAGAGTCGTTGAGAGCGACGCAGAAAGACAAACTAGGATCGCGCGGGAAAGAACTCGGCATGTCGAAAGAAATTTAACAGAATGGCGAGACACACACAACAGTGGATTCCAATATGATCCTTTTACACGTTACAGTGAAGCTGCCAATATTGGAGATTTTGATAAAGTTTGTAGGTTTTGTCACGCTTTGAGTTGGTCAAAGGAACCACGTGGAATATGTTGTGCTTCTGGTAAAGTGTCCATACCGTCTATTTTGGAAGCACCTGAGCCGCTACGTACATGGATATCGGACGAATCACCTCAATCGCGAAATTTTCTTAGACATATCAGGGCCTACAATAGTGCGTTCCAAATGACTTCTTTTGGAGGTAATGAAATCCGTGAAGGACCATATATGCCTACATTTAAGGTTCAAGGACAAGTGTACCATTTGATCGGCTCTCTTTTGCCACCCCCTGGACTTCCGCCGTCTTACCTTCAGATTTACTTTGTTGGGGATGACCAAGTCCAGCTTCAAAGAAGGCAAAGTTTATTTCAAGACCTTGATCATGACATGTTGGCCGCTTTGCAAAACATGCTTCAGAATAATAACGCCTACTTGCTCAGCTTCAAAACTACTTTAGAAACATTTCCTGTAGATTCACCTGATTTCAAAATTGTTATTAGAGCCGACAGACGCCCTGCAGGGGACCACCCAGGTAGATACAATGAACCAACAGTCAATGAGGTTGCTATTTTGATGATTGGGGATCCAAGTGACCATCGAGACATCATTTTAAATTCAAGAGAACAGGGTTTGAAACGAATATATGAAACCCACCGATCTTATGATGCCCTACAATATCCCCTTATGTTTTGTAGAGGCGAAGATGGATATAGTTTCAATTTATATCATGTAAACCCGGTTACTAAACAACCAACCACAAAGAAAACTAGCTCACGAGAGTTTTACGCCTATCGCATTATGGTTAGAGAAGGTGAAGCAAATCACATTCATAAATTCAAACAGCTTTTGAACCAGTACTTGGTGGACATGTACGCTAAAGTTGAGAGTGAAAGGCTGCTGTATCTTCGTACGCACCAAAAGGAACTGAGAGCAGAGAATTACATACACCTTCAAGACGCTTTAAGACGAGACGACAACGTAGAAGAAATGGGGCAAAAGATAATTTTACCTGCCACCTTCACTGGAGGTCCTAGATATATGCATTCTCGCACACAGGACGCCTTTTGCTATGTTCGGAAGTTTGGTCGTCCAGAACTTTTCATAACAATGACAACAAATCCAAAATGGATAGAAATCACGAGTGTAATTGGAGAAAGGCAGTCTGCTCACGACCGGTATGATGTGGTATCACGAGTTTTTCATTTGAAGCTTAACTGTATGATTGCTGTTCTTATGAAAGGCCAGATTTATGGCTCAGTTCGCTGCTACATGTACTCTGTTGAATGGCAGAAACGTGGTCTTCCACACGCTCATATCCTGATTTGGCTTGAAGAATCCATTCCTCCAAATAGAATAGATCAAGTCATTTCTGCAGAGCTTCCAAATCCTGAAACTGATCCTGAACTTGCAGATATAGTCAAGACTCACATGCTGCACGGACCATGCGGAGCTTTTAATGTGCGACAGCGCAAGCTTCCCTGTATGAAGGATGGTCACTGTAGCAAAAGATACCCTAGACCATTTGTCAATGAAACGGCAACAGGAGACAATGGATACCCAACATACAGAAGGCGCTCCCCAGATGATGGAGGCCATCATGTCCTAATCAGAGTAGGTAACGATGAAATCCCTATGGACAACCGATGGGTAGTACCTTACTCGCCTGTATTGTCCCGAACATTTCTAACACATGTTAACGTTGAGTACTGTAGCAGTGTAAAATCTATAAAGTACATCTGCAAGTACATAAACAAGGGCAGTGACCAGGCCACATTTGCAGTAAGTAATGACACAGACGAAATTAAAATGTACCAAAGTGGTCGGTATATATGCACATCTGAGGCGGTATGGAGAATTTTATCATTTCCTATACATGAGAGGTTTCCCGCTGTGTTGCATTTAGAGGTCCACCTTCCAAATGAGCAAAGAGTATATTTCCAGCCAGGCAAT